CCCACCCCCACCCCCACACCACCTCACACCCACACCCACACCCACCCACACCCACCCGCACCCACACCCAAAAATATTTATAGCAAAGAGTATCGAAGATAAATCAAAAGAATATATCTATTATTATTTTTGTTTTACCTGTTTTACCAGCAAGTGTTGTTCCTGAAACAGCACCCTTAGACCAGTATTGAACCCGTGCATTAGATCCATCTGATATATAAAGATTTTCATTCGAATCAACTATCACTCGTAATGGAAAATGCAGTTGATACTGCGATGAGCCAGATGTTCCATTTCCAGCTACTGTCTGACCAGTTAAAACACCAAATAAATATTTTTGAATTCTATGATTGTTGTAATCAGCAATATAGAGATTATGTTCATAATCCAATGTTATATCTATAGGATCATTAAGTTGATTATCTGCATTACCAGGATTATTAGTAATGCCAGCGACAGTAATACATGTCGAATTCCAACGAAGTACAGGTATATCAGCTTCAAACAATAAAATAAGACGTATTTTTCATAATTCAGATGAAAAGAGTGAACTAATCTTACTTCTTGTTGTTTCTGATTTAGGCTTAATCAAAAGAATGAGTAGAATAGTAATAATGATTAAAACAACAAGTAGAGTCGTAAGTAAAGATAAAAGGATGCATCGACGTGAACATCTAATATAAAAATATATTTATTTTAATAGTTATAATCTAGTAACACAATAGTAATTTTGTCTTTTTATTTGTTTTATGTTGTCGATGATAATCTTCGGTCATACCTTTTCCATCTAACCAGGTATGACCAATACTAACATCCTAAAAAAACATTTATTATACAGTTTTGTATAATATATATTTCTCACAAGAAAGATGATACACCACCTCACGAGGGAACACTTTGAAAGATCTTAATAAACGGCTCTTAATTTTTGAACTTCTATTAATATTTGAATCTTGATCAGTTTGAGTTTTCGTTGAATTATTAAGTTGTGACGATGATTGCTTTGTTACATTAGCACTTTTCTTTATCTAGTAATTGAAAATATACTTAATTTTCTGAAAAGATTTCTTACTTGTGAAAGAGAACGATAATATTGATGAATGTTAATATCATTATTAGAATGTATGAATCTTTTTTCATATTGTATTGGATTTTGGATAATTGCTGATTTTGTTTCTTTTTCTTGATACTGATGATTGTTTATCCTAGCTGGAATTTGTTCATGTAAAATTTTTTTAGTATTTGTTGCATAAATATCTCTCGATAAGCCAAGAGCTACATGGATGATGGTATTTGATCGTTGTTTTTTAATTGATGAATGTTTATGCTAAAGTCTATTTATTAAAAAAAATTATAAATGATAAAATGAAATACTCACTTTTTTATCAAATGAACGATGGCGACGAAGATGCGAAATTGTTACAATACTTGGTTTTCTTTGTTGTATCATTTTATAATTATAATGTCTTTCTCAACGGTATTGAAAATAAAATTTGCTTTTTAATTATTAGTTCTACCGAATATATATGTACATATACGACTTCACTAATAAAACAAATAAATTATATTCACAAAATGAAAAGTTTTTTTATTTATATGAAATAGAGGTTTCGTACGCATCAACCATTCTCTTTTCATTCATTATGACTCACAACTACTCATACTTTGTTTGAGAATAAATGCAATCTTATAAACGAAATTTTTTTACATTTTTTTGTATAGAAGAATAGTGTTAATAAATTTGCCAATGTAACAAGTGCAAAATCTTACTAAGCCTTTTGCTTCATATATTATTTTGTGAGATTAATTCAATATCAGTTTTAAACAATATCTTTGAGAGTGACTCTCTCACCCTCGTATAAGTAAAATAATAATGACAAACACACTGTTAATATTATCACTCTATATTTCTGATAGTTATTTCGCAAATTGAATTAAAGAATAAAACCATATTGAAAATTAATTCTCTTGTTTATTTAAAAATAACAACTAACTATATACAATAATAAAAACATATTCTAAATAATTAAATTTTTACCAACATAAATATAAATCACGATTAACAAATTCAATAAAATAATCATTAAGTAAGTTTTCTAATTTAATTAAGATATTTAATTCTTGTAAATATATTTTAGGTATTAGTGAAATACATAGATAAAATAAATGATATGTTTTAGTATTAATATTTGATAATAAAAATTGAATTGTACAATTTCGTCTCTATTCATTCGAGTTTTAACATATTCTACTTGAGGAAATAAATCAACAATCAATTGAATTTCTTCTAATGTACAATGTTTCAGTAGTTCTAAATTTTTAGTTTTATTTGTGCTTGATACAAATCGAAATGTTTTACTTTGTTGAATTAATTCTGAATTAGTTTTCTTGAGAGATAAAAAACTCAAACTTAATATGTGTAAATTAGATGTAAAACGTATTAACTACACTATCTGTTCAAAAGAAAAATTATAACATATAGTTGCTAATTTTATAAGTTCTTCTAAAGGAACTATTCGGTTAAAAGTTGTTGGAATTGAATCATGCATCAGAAGTTGCACAATAATATTCAATAGTTCATTCAGTAGCATTTGGAAAATAATTGACACACTTATTTGATGCTCGCTATTGCATATATGCACATGTTTAACTGAATTTAAATTATTTTCCTGAGTTATAGACAATGTTGTTTATCAAATTTCCAATAAAATTTGTAATCTTTTCATCTAGAAATAAGAAAAAGATATCATAAAATTAACTTAATCTATTTTAACCGATATGAATCTATTGAATAAAATATATCACAATCTAATCTTTCACTCCAATCATGTTGATGTGAAGAAACCATTGTTTTTCAATCCAAAATGCAGAATTGAATTGATTCATGAAATCATGATATACTCCTGGGCAAAAGTCTTTCCCATCCCCTCCTTTTTAAACAAAGTTTTCTTCACTATTATAAGAACAAAGCATGGTGTTGTTCGGGCCATATAAAAGAAGACTTCTAATAACTCCTGATCGGCCCGAATAACATCATGTTTTGCCCTAATAATAGTAAAAACTGTTGAAAAAGGAGGGTGGGAAAGAGGGTGTGGCCCATGTAAAAAAAATTGATTGAAAAAATCGATTAAAATCATAGGATTTTTAATCAATAATTCAGCAGTAATAATCATGGCAAAATCAGATGTTAATCGACTATTATAATTATAATCGATTTACAATATTTTCAAAAATTGATTATAACCATAATAAGCGAAATAATCGATTAAAATCTGATTTTGCCATGAGTATTACCACTGAATTATTGATTAAAAATCGTATGGTTTTAATCGATTTGGGTGTGTGTGGGTGTGGGTGTGTGGGGTGTGGGTGGGTATAGTTTCGGTATGGAAGACAGAATCCACACACACCCACACCCACACCTATGTTTATGATCTAAATTATGAAGCATTTCATATACAATAGATCCAGTCCAATAGTTTAAATTACCAATATTTTCGTTCGATTTATCGAGATTATATCGATTTAATTTAACTTCATACTTTCCATTGATTGAAAATATTGATCTCAGCATGGTCAACCATCGGTCATTCTTGCATGGGAAAGGTTTAAACTCATAAAAATAAAGAAAACTGTCTCTATAAACAAAAGTACACTACGGACAGATTATGAAACGTGTTGAAAGCTCTGAGATACTCTGTTGATGAGTGATGCAAACCCTAATTTTTGTTCGACAAATGTTTAAAAAGAGTTTTTGAATAATTTCACCAAAAACGTTTAGGCCTGGATCTCGTTATATTTCATTTTTTGTCCGGAAAGTAAAGAAAAATTCTAATGAAATTTCGTTGTGAGAGTAAAACTGACATACTTGCGCAACAGAATTGTCTTTATACTATTTGTGGATTAGAAAAAAAGATGAGTTTTTATTATCATAATTTGAAAAATTTTAAGATGTCGAACCTTCTCCATTAGAACGTCAAAAAAAAGACGAAATTACGTAACGGACAGTATTTATAGTTTTTTATTCGATGCAGTGATGCTTGTTGAAAAATGAACTGATATTCTAAAAGCTTGTGGAAAACTGAATGACTTTTACATGGAACATTTATTTGTATGTCACTTCATTGCGTAATAAAATGCTTAACTCTAAGCTTACCCTAAAAAAATTTTGATTTTTTTGAAATTCCGTAACGCTTGGCCAAATCGATCTATGAGAAATTCATGAAATACATCCGACAGTTCCTTCACTTTGAATTTCAATTTTTTCATACATTGGATATATAGGAATGTAAAACCATGCTGAATTTTATATTCGATGTGAAATAATTGTCTGTTACTGCAGAATGTCAGTGGCTGAGGATCAGTTTTTTCAAAACATACGCATTATTCTATTTCGAGGGTGAGTGTGAGAATGTGTTTTTAATATTTATAAATTCAAAATTTTTAGTTTCGATGTTTTTACAGCAATTCCTACTATTTACCACTGTATATATTTGAATTGCATTGAGATTTTTTTCTAGTTTCTCGTTAAATACGTGTTGATGAAAATATGATAAAATTTTCGATTTATGTTGAAAAAGATATTCTCGTTTATTTTGATTAATAAATGAAAAATTGAAAAGAAAAAGAAGTTAATAATAGTTCCATTATGTTTGTGATTACATTCTCTCTTGATGTCGACGAAATAGTTGTTGTCTGCAGAATTTACTAGTTAAAACAAATACAAAGAATGTTGTACTATGGCCTGTTGCTGAAATACTTCCAAAAATGATGATAAATAAATTATCTTTTGTTAATTGAAGACGATCTTTAATTTGATATTCTGTTAATGAAGTGTACAATTGAATACAGGCATAGGCAGTTGTTGTTAAACCAACAAATAAACATTGAATAAATACCATACGAAGCAAATGTCTATCTTTGTTTGCATCTCTATTAACTCGATTTGATTGTATTGTTACAGGCATAATTCGTCGACGATGAACATGTTGAAGAGTGAGTATAGAGAAGAGAAACATGAGTAAAGGTGGTCCTATACCATATGCCAATAAATGCCAGATACCAAGGAATGTTCCCTAAAAACTAGATTCACTTGTACAAGATGAAGTTAAATTAATTTTATAAAAAACAAGCACATGTGAATATACAATATTAATTAAAATAAATGTTAATAGAATTGTACGAGAAGCTACTTTAAAACTACTCAACTGTCGAAGATTGACATTTGATGAACTATGTAAAAATCTAATTGTAATTATAATTCAACAAGTGAATTTATTTATTTAAATAAAATAACGTACCGGTCAAAACAAGCAAGAACAAGATACCATGATGTCAATGCTCTAATTATGAAAGATAAAAATAAGAATGTTTTCTTAAAATTCTCACCTCCATGTAAACGTAAAAAAATATTTTATTTTACAGAGTGAACGTAAATAAGTAGTAGGATCAATTTTATATCCATATTGAAGAGTTCGAAGTGGAAGATTAATAATAGTATAAATAAGTGCAGTTATAGATGATGATAAAAAATACATACAACATGGATTTTGTCTTAACGATGGTCGTGTAAATACATATATATTCAATGTATTACTAATGACACCAAAAAGAAAGATAATTGGATGTGTCCAACGTACTAATAAGACAATAATCCAATTGATTTTATCAATATCATTTTGAATATTAGGTGAGTTCGTGACATTTGATAATGACATATTGTTTAGATTTTTCAAGGAAAGAATGTTGTATCGAATCAATTATTGTGTATACTACATCTCAAAACATTCATATCAATTGCGAGATTTTTTTCTTTTTATTACTTGTTATAATAACCAATGAAATAAATATAAAAATGCTCTAGCTATAGCTGCAACAGAATCTTTTCTATTTTCTACATGCTAGTTTATTTCCAGATTTAGAAAAATCTTTGTGATTACGTCAAAACTCATTCATAACACTTGAATTGTCTTCAAAGGTCATAACAATTGTATATGCTATCTGCTTTTAAATCATATTTAATTTATACTGACAGAAAACATAATTCTGCAATTCTGTCTGACAATCTACTACGTCTCCGTTTTTTCATATATTGCAAAAATACTTTTTTTTGATTATAATTACAATAAATAAAAGTTTGTCTCTCCTAATATTTAGTTTTGTGTTTGGAGAATTTGAGTTTTGACCTTGGTACATGCCTAATGTCATACAAGCCCGATGTTGTTAGTTCTAGCCAGACATAAGCTATAGACGTTTTACTCCATGTTGTTGAACAATTTTTCACAGAAGATTGACTTTTCTTTCGTATTTTTGGATAGAAAAAATTGTTTTATGAACATATCTGAACGTATCGATTTTTTAAAAAGCTTGACGATCGTTTTTGGAAAAACTGTCCAAAAAATCACAACTATTTAACGAGTGCACCATAAATAATTGCACTCTTAGTATTTTTAAGATTTCTTCTCTATTATCCCTGTGATTAAAAAACTTTTTTTTAATCAAAACATAGCGCTTGCAATTCTCTACGAGTCCGTATATGACTAGACTCAATATCTACGTATATAACACTTTTGTTGAAACTACAAAAAATTATTTCAAGCATCTATTAATCATAAAAGCCATTAGATCATATCTAAAATTACAGTTGAAACTATGCTTTTGACCATAAAATATTTTAATCCACCAAGATAAAGCCATTTTTTTTTACAGTAAAATGGTTAATGTATCTTCAACGATCATAGATTAAAAATAATAGATTTTGTAAAAAGAAAAATAGAGGAGCTCATTCAAAAATTATTTCTTGAAAATTATTTTTGCTAGCAAAAGAAGTGTTTTTCAAGCTGATAAACACCTGGAACAATACAATCTTGTATAGAAAGAAATCGTAATAGAGATAAACGTTTTTAAGTCTCAGTGGTGAATTTCTTTTTTTTTGAGACAGTAACATATCACAAACGACATAGTACAACGATTATGCTAGGTATCCCAAATAATAGTTATACCGTTCATTAGGAAGATTTATAGCATGATGATAGATTTTTAATAGTGCAGTATATAGATAAACGAAAAAAAATTATATTCTAGTTGATGATTCTCTTATATCGGCTTGTCCAAGCGTAACGCGATGACGTTTTGCCCACATTGTCTTCAAATTTTCTCAGCAACAAAATCCCTTAGAAATTTGATTTTTTCGTTGGAAGATGTGTCTTCTTAGATACTCTTGGAATCCGGTAAATTTGAGTTTATTCAGCTGACCATTCTGGAAATCATAGGAAAAATATATAGCGTTACGCGATGATGAACAAGGAACAAAAATTTGAGGGTGTTATATTTGTTCTTTGTTTTCCTCCAAATGTATATTATCCTAAACAAAATATTTTATAATAGATTTGTAGAAAAAACTTTGGAATATTAATGTGAGAAATGCTTTTTTGAAAAAGGTCTTTTATTCATGGTGAAACTTTGGTCACACTAACGTTACGCGATGACGATTTCGTTACGCGATGACGAAAACCGAAAAAATAAAACCCTTTTCCTGCTATTAAGATGTCCACAATATAGAATAAATGCGAGTCAAATCTCGTCTTCTGAAAACTACAAATAGCTTTTACCCATTTCCTCCCTAATTATATCGGATAATAGTGATGATCAGTGTTGCCACCTCTTAAAGTCCGAAAAGCAGAAAATAATTTACAAAAACCAGAAAATGACAGAAACTTTATCATCAGAAAGCAGAAAAAAGCAGAGAGTATATTTGCTGACATTCCACTCGGCCTTTTTCTTTCCTTTTTCCTTTTTTTCTCTTTTTCTCTTCCTTCAATATTTTCTTTTTGACCCCATTTTTCCTTATTTTCTAAAAAATGATAGTCAGTGATAGGTATTTTTTTGCAAAAAAAAAGAGAGGAAAAAACGTCGACAAGAAATAGACGTGCAAGTCGTCAGCCGATTTGTGCTGAAGCAACGTATTTTCAAAACGACGACTTACACTTCTAAAAAAAACGCTTTTGAAGAAAAAGAGGAAAAGAGGGAAGGAGGAAGAGAGAAAAAGAGGAAAAACGAGACGTAGTGAGATGTCAGCCAAAAAAAGAGAGGAAAAAACGTCGACAAGAAATAGACGTGCAAGTCGGGTGTGGGTGTGGGTGTTTGGGTGTGGATGTGGTGGTGTGGGTGTGGGTGCGGGTGGGTGTGGGTGTGGGTGGGTGTGTTGGTGTGGGTGTGGGTGTGGGTGGGTGTGGTGGTGTGGGTGTGGGTGTGGGTGGGTGTGGGTGTTGAGAATAGATATAGTCACACCCACACCCATACCCCTTTTTACTTGAGGGCTCGTCTCTTATTTAAAACGTTTTTGTAAAGACAGTTAATGCAACACTTAATCTGATACTCAAGTATCCATTTCAATGAATTTTCAAGTTTCGTGCGAAAATAAAATTCATATCATAACTGAATTCCGTGCTATGAATGTCATATCATATAGAATACAAATCTTAAAAAGCTTTGAAGAAAAATCTTCTAAAATTCTCCCAAACTCGATTCCTGTCAGAGTTGAAACAAAATACAGTAAAATTTTGAGTTTCTTTTCAGAGTTTTTCTGTTGATATTTGACTTAAGATGCACAGTGTAATTTTTCGGGATTCAGCTACTCGAAAAAATATTCAAAAAATCTTAAATACGTATTGATCACAATTTTTCTGGAATGATTTCATAACTTTTTTCAAAATCTTTAACTACATTTGTCATAAATCGTGCTAGAATCCTGGAGATCAAGGGTTCAGCAGACTTGAAATGAAAACTGCAAAGGTCTTCGTTCAGCCTCGATATTTTTTCTGGCAGATCTTGGCAATCCTTAGCCTTCTTTAGCATGGATCTGAAATGCTTGTCCTTGAAGATATTTCAGCAGAAGCTTGGAAACGCTCATAAGAGATATTCGTACTAGCAATTCGTGAGAAAATAAGATAGAATCATAATTGGACCTTGGCAAGATTCACAAGGTGATGACTCTTACTACTCTTGTATTATTCTTTGTAGGATCTTTGACTAATTTAGTCGTAAGACCTGAGAGCATCATATCGCAGAGATACAGAACAGATCTTAGTAAAACATTGATAAAATGTAATCGGCGTTCATCCTGCAATTTCTGGCAAGATCTTGAGCAAGATCGAGTGTGAATCCTAGCAGGACCCTTCTTTATTAAATGGTAGAGAAGTCTGACAAGGAACTTGGAAAGATACTGAGGAAAATCCCTCTTTCACAATGAAATATTCTGCAACCCAATATTATCAAAATTCGAAATAGAATCCTGAATAAAACATGATAGCAATCTATCAGAGAAAACCAGAATGCAGCAGAAACCGATCAGCAACACAATAGTATGAAATCGATAGACAAATGGTAGATCCTGATGGACCCTAAAAGCGAGCAGAATCCATCATGATATAACAAAAATTATTGAGACATATGAGTGCCTAAATGTCCAGGATTTTCTTTTTCTTCTTAGTTACAAGTGCTGAAGCCAATAATCCTGTTTTTCACTTATTTTCGTTGGGTCCTAATGGATTATTGCATTTATGAGGATTAGTTTCTTCCATCCACACTCTGGGACACTTCAAATATATAATCCTAACATTCATCAGATTTCATTAGGATCCATTAGGATCCATCAGGATCCACCAGGATCCACCAGAATTGATAGGATCCGAGGATCCAACATCCGCTTTTCGTGCCCCCTCTTGGGTGTGGATGTGGGTGGGGTTGGGAACAAAAACACTGCAGCACACCCGTCCATGCTCACACTCACATCCCACACCCACACTCACACCTCACACCTACACCCCACACCCACACTCACGCACCCACACCCACACACCCACACCCACACACCCACACCCACACACCCACACCCACAGTCACATACACCCACAACCACACCCACACACACGCATCCACACCCACAATCACACCCCACACCCACACCCAAGGGGGGAAAAGGCTGATTTAAATCATCTGAAAATCAAAATTAAATCATTTTAAATCACGTGAAATCATGTGAAAAAATGAGTTGTAATGATTTTAAATGATTTAAAAATCATTTTAAATCACAAATCACCTTTTCCCCCTTGCCCACATCCCACACCCACACTCACACTCCACACCCACTCACAACCACACCCACACCTACGTCCACACCCAATGTCGGATAGGTTGGTTTAATTTAATTTTTCTTTCTTCCTCTTGTTGGCGTTACCATCGTCAACCATCTTTTGAGGAACTTCTCGTTCGTTAATTTACTTTTATTCGTTCTTCGTCACTGAGATTTCCCAACTTTCTCCGTCATCTTGTGAGAGAAAAGTAAAAAAAATAATTTTGTATCCAGTTTTCTTTATGTTGTTATTCCGACAACTTTTTAATGCGTTCTGTCAAATGTCGGATAGGTTTGTTTAGTTTTTCTTCCTTGTATTTTCTCTTATTTTTGTCAAGCATTTTTTAAGAAAACTACCTTCCGTCAGCTTGCTTATAATCACTCTTTCTTGATTAAGTTTTTCTAGTTTTTACGTGCCTTTATAAAAAAAAAATATGTGAAAAATAGGTTCCCATTCTTTTATGTTGTTATGCCGATGCTTGTCGAGTGAGTTATGAGAAATGTTGAATAGATTGGTTCAGTTTAATTTTTCTATTTTCCTCTTGTTGACGCTACCGTTGCCAACCATCTTTTGAGAAAACTTCCATACGTTAATTTACTTTTATACGCTCTTCATTGAGTTTTTTTTATTATTTCGGACTATTGGATCAGAAAAAATTGCTAGAAAGTTAATGTGCATTTTTTTTTGAATTGGTTTTTGCGATCATTTCCCTGCGTTGCATGAAAAATATTCAATGAGTTAGCCTAGTTGCCTACTGTTCTCATCATTTGTTCATCGTTATAGTTGTCCATGTCCTTATGAACGTTATTTAACGCTATAGATTCGTTTCCAACCTCGTTGAGTAACAAGTTCTGTTTATAACTCACCCATATTTGTTGAAGAAATGGTAATGTCTTTTACTAATCAAATCTTTCAGTCGCCTGCAAGCCTGATAGTTAATAAGCTATTTTGAAGAAAAATATGTTAATAGAGTTCACCTTTTCAGTTTTTTCCTTCCTTTAGCTATTGAGACAGTGCCCATGATTTTTCTTAACAGTCTCACATGTGAGTTTAGGTGTGGGTGCACGTGTAGATGTAACTACAAAAGGAGAGACGACAACACCGACACTCCACACACAGATCTACACCCACCCGCACCCAGACCCAGACTCACACCCTACACCCATACCCTTTAAGCCTAAGGAATATATCTTCGATGGCATCGTATTAACAGAAAGGAAAGAAAAATCATTTTTGACCCGGACGACATTTTTCCGCTTGAAAGGAGCATTTTTCTTAGCGATCGCAACGTTGCCCACTGTTAATGGTATTCAAGCAGTCTTGCACAATTGACAGAAATTACTTGGATATAAAAATGTAGCGCGTGTCGCTTTTTTCTTTTCTGTTAGTGAGTGATTTAATCATTCAAGATTGTTTTTTCTTTATTCTGACAACAAAAGTCTCTCTCTTTTCTTTTTGTGCCTTCTTTCTTCATCGCTGTTGGACGTCAGTTTGACAACAACGTTCATCGTCAGTAGTTTTTAGCTGACAACGGCGTCCGACAATATTGCCGCTCCTTCGCAAGTAGGAGAAACGCGCACTTTAATAAGTAAACGTGGTTAATTGTTCGCTGCAGTGTGAAAACTTAAACTATTGTGTAAACCTCTTTTTTTCTTTTTCTGCAAGTATATATTGCTCGACTTAGATCGCAATAAACATAGTTTCGTCAGAAAGGTTACCACTTGCTTATAGAGTTATTCTATTAATCCTATGTTCATCTAATCATGTCGATTTATTCTGACAGGCTTCACGCTCGACCGAAAATAATACACTACTAATGGAAAAGAAGGAGAAGGCAAACAGATGGTTTACGGTAATGAAATAAAGACATCTAGTAAATTTTAAAAAAATGGTTTTTCAAATATCATTTTAGGAAGGGCAGTATAAAGAAGCACTCATGATGTATACAGAAATTTTGGAGAATATTAACAATGAGACTGATCAAACATTACTCTGTCATCAAATATACGCAAATATGGCTCAATGTAATCTCAATCTAAAAGAATACGGTCAATGTATTCAATGCTGTGACAAAGCGTTCAAACTAGATACTAGTTTAAAGGACAAGTTATATTATCGGTGTGGAAAAGCGTACTTTTCTTTACAGGATTTCAAAAGTGCGAGCAAATATTTTGAGTACTTAGTTACCAGTGAACCAAATAACAGAGAATGGAAAGAACACTTACAAAAATGCTTGGAAGGGCTAAACGAACAAGAGCGCCTTTTTCAAATCGCGCAAACAAGACCGCAGTCACTGGAGGCCAATTCTCCTGTCTATGCCAAGATAGACGTAAGTAAGGACTAAACAATGAATAAACTAGAAACTTCTCAGTGAACAGTGTAACTTTAGAAGCTAGTGTAAGTATTAATAGATCATAGCTTTTAGGGTGTGGGGTGTGGGTGTGGGTGCGGGGTGTGGGGTGTGGGGTGTGGGTGCGGGTGTGGGTGTGGGGTGTGGGTGTGGGTGTGGGTGTGGGTGTGGGTGTGGGTGTGGGTGTGAGTGTGGGTGTGGGTGTGGGTGTGGGTGTGGGTGTGGATGTGGGTGGGTGGATGGGTGTGGATGTGGGTGGCGGTATGAGTATTGAGTTCAACCACACCCACCCACACCCACATCCACACCCACACCCACCCAGACTCACATCCACACCCACACCCACCCAGACCCCCCACCTCGCCCGAAGAGCAATGCCTGGTGCTACCTTTTCTATTTCATTTCTGTCAGATAGAGCGTTGTGTACATAATATAAATTGTCTTTTCAAGAGTTCCGTTTAAGCAGTATCTTTTATGACAAATTAACATACCAGTTTTCGTCAATATACTCCATATGCAGTAAAATACCTTAATTCATTTATTTTCTTCATTTCAGCCTAAACCAATTAATGATTTCGGTGAAATGGTTACAGCCACTGTGAAACTCATATCAAAGTTCTATGATGTCAAATCAATCGATTATTCGATGTCGAGCGACTTACCTAAATGGCGTTATGATTTCTTACCTGAAGGTCTTTCCATACTGTTAGAAAAGATCTTTCCTTCTGAACATGCATTCTACGACCTGTTATATGAGACTCTTCGCTTCTTTAATTACGGAGCCTTTTCACGAGCTGAAGTGTGCCTCAAAGAAGCAGATCCAAGCTTCGTCTATTCAAATGATGTATATCCTTTAGGTGATGGAAGTATTTCGCATATGCTCTTTCATGCAATAATGCTTCGTCACTTTTATTTCGAATTTACAGCATCGGAAATGTTGAATAAAATTGATTTTAAGAAATGTACATCATATGAGAAGGCACTTTTTTGCATCGAAAATTTCATGTGTCGACGTCAACATGAAGACTATAGTCGTGTACCACATGAAACAGATAAGGCCTTTTTGATTCGGATCCTGGATAACCAAAATGATGAGCTACCAGATGAAACAACCTTCTTCATCCATACACTAATGGCTGAGCATATTAGCAAGCAGTATCACTACCAAGGTCACTATCTTGACAACATTTCAGAAGGACTTCCCGCTCGATTCGCCAAAGATGCATTGGAATACCTTTTGCGCGAAACTAAAGCTCTTGGCACTGTCATGTACAACGTACGCTTTTGGTTACTTCTTGCACAACTATGCAGTAGCGCCATGGATTTCTCTTATATTAATGAATGTCATCGTGTGGTCCACTACTGCTTGTTTTATTTCGAGAACCTTGAAGATGTATGTCAATATTACGAGCAAATAATATCGTGGGATATAACGATATTAAGCTCATTTCAGAAACTTAGCCATGATGCAAAAGAATGCCAGGATTGGCTGTTAAATGAAGTGATAATAAATGATCGTTCAACATCGCGAGGGATGATTAGATTGTATTCGTCAACGATCAGTTATATCATGGAAACAATTGAGTCAGCATTCATCCGTATTCCAATACTTGATACTGACAGAGATACTCGTCAGAAAAGAAAATGGTATGCCATGGAATGGTGCGATTTTCGTGTTACAAATGCGTGGGTTACAGAGTATTACATTGGAAAACATTTAACAGAGGTTATGATAGCTCACTCCATGGTGAAACAGAATTGTGCCTATCTAACCTTTACAAGGCATAGTCCAAATACCTTTAATGCTATTTGGTGTATTGTACTGACACCTCATCGCAAAAATGCAATGCCAATACACTTGAATTTCTCCATTGGAGAACTGTGGAGACAACTTGAAAGTGTCGTTGAAAATGTCTCAGATCCAGATACTCCTTTTACATATACTCTTGCAAAAGACAAATACTTCGGTCTTAAAGAAACGATTTATTCCACATTTATTAAACCTATTGAAGATAGTCTTCAAAAAGATAACATCGAACAAATCAAAATCGTGACTGAGAAAGATTTTTATTCAAAAGTGTTTGGCAAACAACTACTTCACAAACGTGGTCTCGACCTTAAACTTCGCAACGATTGTTGCTATGTTATGTATTCTAGATGTTATGTGAAATCAAATATACTGATTACATACATAGTCTTCCACGATGGACGCACAGTTATTCGTGAAACATTAATCTTGTATCGAGATATTTTGAAAAAAATCAATGAGATCAACAGAAATGACTATGAATTCATGGTTAGAAGCAAAGAGAACCGTCCCATGAATAAAGGAAGCGAACTACGCGCCGAACTCTATGATGTGTTTATCACACCAATTAGGAAAGAACTCATCAGAGCAAAAATAACCAGGATCAAAATTGTAGCAGAGGAATATTTTTACATTATTCCTTTCTCAACATTATTTGATATAGTGGAAAAGCAATACTTATATGAACAATTCAACATATCTTTTGTATTATCAATAAGTATCGATCAATTGTATCAATTGTCTAAATTGTCTGTTCCTCCTAAATGTCTACTGATGATGTGTACTACGACATATGTTGGCCAAGGAAATGAAGAATACTTTGGTTTGCCAAAAGCTACAGGCGATCCGCTTGCTGAGGAATTACATGCATGCGCTGAAAAAAATATTCCTTGTCTTCTTAATGAAAAAATAACAAAAACACAACTTCTTCAATATTTTAAGGAGCGTCAAACGTCGGGAGTTTTCCATTTCGGTGGCCATGCTGAATGGACAGAGAATACAAGTCGTAACGATTATACTTTAACAGGTTGCCTTATCCTAGAAGAAGAAGCTGACAAAGGCAGAGAAGAAACTGTAATACATGCTTCAGAAATATGTGATCTTGACCTACGGCATTTACAACTTGTTGTGTTAAACACATGTTCTTCTCTTCGTAGCCAAAATGTGAATCGAGGTGGACCCATGGGACTAGCGCGTGCATTCGTGATCGCTGGTGTTCCATGTGTCATTGCTACTCACACAACTGTACGTGGAGAAGCCGCTGTATTTGCTACTTCTTTTTACGACTGCTTGCATAAAGGAGAAACCATAGCTTCGTCGTTCACACAAGCTTTACGTGCGACAGCAGAAACTGAGATATTTAGCAATCCAGAACGATGGGGTTCATTTGTTCTTTTTGGCAATGATGAACTTAAATTGGAATTGATGTCGTCTTCAGCATGAAGGTGGAGGCCTATCAAAAGATAACAGACCGATCTGCGTATCTACAATAAAATCATTCCACTCCACTTATTTCGTGTTGTTCACCAACCAACTGAGACAAAATAAATGAATTATAAAATAATAAACTATTGCGTTTTTTAAAATAGGCAGAAGTCAAAGTTGGATTCATCAATCCCACGTAGAACAAAAGTAGGCAAAGATCAACTTTTTATTAATAAAGTAGGCTACTAAAAGTGACTAAACTAATAATAAGTGAAGCTTTCTAAGCAGATTTTAGACGTCTAAAGCCACTTTTTAAATGTGAAAAGTGGCTTTTATACTTAAAAAGTATTAAAGAACAGGTTGAGGGAATCAAAAATCCTCGATTTCTGAAATTTTTCACTTCAGGAGTACCATTAAATACTTTTTTATTCATCCAGCCAACTATTTTCTACTTTTGAAGTTTAAAAGTCACTTTTCATATTTAAAAAGTGACTTGAAAGGTCAACATTCACTTAAAAAGTTCACTTCTTATTATTTTAAGGGTGTGGGTGTAGGTGTGGATGTGTGAGTGTGTTGTGGGTGGGTGTGGGTGTGGGTGTGGGTGTGGGTGTGGGTGTGGGTGTGGGTGTGG